CAGATGAGTCAGTCCCTTATGCTGCTGTTGACAAAGGTCATAGAGTACTTTTCTGTCGGCTGAGCTGTGGAGATGGTGGTCTCCCACTCCAGGCACCTCTGACAATCACTGCTTCATCCCAGAGAGGGGGCCTGTTTATGTTTGTTCAGAGAGAAACGACTACTAGTTGTCTTTTTAAACACTGAGGATTGAAATGGAACTGATGAGGTAGATTTAAAAACTGCATTGATACTTACGGTAAAGAAGAAGAACTTGAGTACCTGCAGTATTGGCACTAAAAGCTTAATGCTATCACTAGTGCTCTGTCTTGCCCCCCCGGATACGTATATCCCTGCAGGTGCTGTGGTTGGAGGACACTTGGAGCCCTGGAAGAAGCTGTTGTCTCCCTCAGCTGAGATACCGTAGCCTCCAGCAGTGGGAGATGGTTAACTCCAAACTGTTCTAACGTGAGCGTTGATAGTTGTCTGGCCAGGCTGACTGCTTCCTCTTCAGCTGAGCTTGCTTAGAGTTTTGTTCCAGTTTTACAGTTCATTAACGTGTGTTCTTTGCTGTATGCACTCACTAAAACTACACTATTTTCTTAGCTAGGGTAATTAAGATTAAGTTTCATTTAGCCTAGTCATTCCTCTGACTGTAATTTTTTTTTTTATTGTAGGTGACTCAGCCGTTGTATGTATGAGATTTGTCCACACACTGGCTCTTCAGACAGGTTAGCTGTATTTTTCTGCCATCAGTTCCATCATATCTGAAAGAGTTGCTACTTTCACCTTCTATTAAAGTAAAACTGTGCAAGACTTACCTCCTGTAGTATAATGATTTTTTTGAACCTGTGGAGGAACAGCATTTTTTTTTTGCATTACTTAAATATACCCTATGGTGTAAGTCAGGCCCTCTTAAACTTAGTGTCTATGTAGCAGTGTCACAGGTGACAGCAATAGATCTTGACTGCATGTACATGGAGGAAGTGTTTCTACTGGTATATGGTGTGACAGTAAGGGCTATGTACTGCTAGTTTCGTAAACTGCTTTTTCTTGTTGGCTAATGACAAACACGATTTTGCAAAGTTTAAATAAGATGTACTATGTAAACTTTGAACTGTATAATTGAATTGGAAATTTATTGGTACTGACTTAACTCTTCTGACTTCTAAGAAGCATATCATCAAGATGGCTTGGTGAAATGAAAATGTTGTGTATTATTGGTGTAGTCACCTGTGAGGGAGAATACTGACTTCTGGCAGCATAGAGCGTTCCAGTGTGAGCACCTAGATCAGCCAGGAAAAACTGTTGTGCTCCAAAGTACACAGCTTTTACAGTGCTTCAGAAAATGGTGAGAGGGATCTTCTTGTTAACTTCAGCTTTGGCCAGAGCTGACTGTCCACAAGGAGGAGAAAGCAGTGAAAGGGATCTGAGCAATTCTGCAGACACTGTCTCCAGCAGCGCTGCTGGACAGCAGCTGCCACCTTCCTGAATATCTCCCAGGAGCAGTGCTGCTGTTCTAGGTGCTCTGCTTGGTGTTTTCCAGTAGTGCTCTCTAGACTTTGAGCTCATTATGCTCTCACCCCTTAATTTTGTTGTTAGTTGTCTTCTAGACTATTTCTTTTTCATTCATTGCTTTCTCCTCTAGGGAGGGTTTGATGACTTAGGCAGTCACTATTTCATCCCTAACCCGAAGAGAGAGGGATGAAGCGTCCTAGCTGCCTGGTTGGGCAGCTTGCAGTGCCTGGCAAGGGAGTGTGGGGGCTGCCTAGCGGGGAGGGAAATGACATCATGATGGCTGAGTATATTTGAGAAACTTCGTGATTCAGTCCTCTTCTGGGGTGCCATGTGACAGGCATGGTGCATGAAACAAGCTGTTTTGTTGTGGTCCTAATAAATTATTTTAATAAATTAAAAAATCTGTACTGACATTGAGCTCTCAGGTTAATTTTTCTTGTTTGGCTTGAGGAGGTAGTATCCTCACTGTCTTCTGTGTGGAGTATAAAACAGTCAACAAGACACAAATTTTCAGTGGTATAGAGATAAATTCCAATTATTCTGCGGGAGTAAAATAACTTTTTATCGTTAAAGCCAGGTCTAAGTGGGTTGCCCGACCTGGGAAATCTGTACTAGAACTGGGAACTGATATGGAAAGGCCAGGTTTTTGTCAAGCATTTTAACCATTGCACCCTTTTCCTTTTTCTGGAAACCTTCAGATACTGTTTGCTTTATTTCTGTAGAGTGCCAGCAGTGGATTACTTTGACTTAGCTTGTCCAAGGTCTGTTGTAGGAATTACTGCCTCTGATGTAAAAAATATGAGTGGTACGCTTCAGCATCTTTAACAGCAGGCCAGGGAGAACTGCTCTAACACTTTTCCTTATTAAATGCCTGTCTGGTATGAACCTGATAGTAGCTGGCATGGAGGGGAGAGGTTTCATTCCTTTAATACCTTGTGAAACAAAGTTGTTTAGTTTATTCTTCTAAAACTCTGAGTTTTGGAGGTTAGAAAAAAGGGCTTCCTTAATTTCGTGTTCTCAGTGCCCAGACAGCATCAGCATAATGTAAAAATGTATGCTTCTGCAGGGTGTTTAGACTCACCTTTTGAATGGCTTAAAGACTTGCATTGGAGAACTGAGTGTATATTTAAGTGTGTGCTTTTTTGGGCTGGGATTACTGGGCTCCACAGCGTGGCATCTAGTACAGTCAAACCTGCTTTGGGTCTGTAGGCACGGTATTATGCAAATTAGTAGGTTTTGTGTTCTTCTCGGAGGTGAAAAAACCACAACACTGACTAGTGCTTGGATCTGGTCATGTTTAGCATGGGAGAGTTCATATGAAGTAAATCCAGGTCAAAAATGCTAATTTCCCAGTTAGCCATTTAAAACATATTTTAAATAACAGTAATGCTGAAGTGTTTCCCTTTCACTATTACACAATGAGCTAAAAATAGTTTTCATTCATAAAAAAAGCTGCTTCCTTTGTTAAATAACCTGCTTAGCAGAGAACAAAAGTTCATTTTGTAGTAAACTGTAGTTGTATTATAGCCTCAAGTCTGACACCTTTATTCCTGATTGAAATAAGACTATAAACTTTAATCTTTGGTAGCTGACAGGCAGACTTAAATAAAAAAGGATGAGTGATTCACAGTTACTGTTCAGGAGTTCTGGGTGTGATCTGTGCAAAAATCTGAAGTGCTCTATCTTGCTTCTCCTTCTGTAAAATACATGACTTCAGCACCGTCTGGATGGAGTGCTGGCCATGGGTTGGGATTGGGAAGGGGTCTCTGTGACCATAGAGTCTAGCTACTTGCTCTGAAGTCGTGCAGTGTCAGTCATCTTGGTAATCCTATCAAAAGACCATCCTTCAAAATCGAAGTACCTAACTCTTTCTTTTTTGACTTTGATCAAAGTTATGTGACGTTTTCAGTTTACAGGGTACAACTGAACTCCTTTAGATTTTATTCTAGCTAGAGGATGTCAGAATGAAAGGTGATAAATGGCATTTGCTATGAAATTGGAGCTCGTGATCCTTATAAGGGGTAGGAGGCAGAACAGCAAAATCAGAAGGCTTTTGAGAAGCAGAGAAAGTAGTAAGACCAACTTACAGGCTTTTACTGACTTTGGATGCAAGAAAAAAATATATGTAGAGCACGAAAGTAAGTCACATTATGAAGAACATGTATGAAAGAATAGTAGAGGCAGATACTGGAAAGGCCAAAGTGCACATGGAAATGCAACTGGCAAGAGGCATAAAAGCTAGCAAGGTTCCTGTAGAAGTAGGTTAATAGCAGGAGGAAGATTGAGAAATGTGTCTCTTGATTCAATGGAGAACATATGTATCTACAGAAGGTACAGAACATTTAAAGTGCTTAGTGCCTGTTTTCCTGTTTTGCTTGTCTTCTCTAACTGTCATGCAGGTGCTTGATCTTATTAATACTTGTGATGAGGTAGTATTTTACACTACAGTGTACTTCCACTAGATGTTCCTATGTTAGCTGGCCCTGATAAGCTTCACAGTATAATTCTCGAAACAGCTCAAAAAATTTAAAAATATTAGCTAGAAATACTCAGCAGTACTATAAGACTGGCAAAGGATAAGAATGAGTCTTCAGAGAGTTACAATGGAAGAGAGCTGAGAAAGAGGAATTGAAGTATGACAGTTCACTTTATCTCATTTTTTTCTATCAGTTGAGTTTAATAAGCAAACATTCTATTTTCAAGTGCTTGGAAGATAGCTATGAGAAGAATAGCAGCATGAACTGATTTGTGGGAAAACTAATTATGTCCAGAGTCTAATACCTTTTTATGGCAGAGCAGAAGGTTTTGTGGCTATGGCAGAAGCAGTGGAGGTCTTGTCTGCTGATAGATTGATTTATTTAAAAAGGTTTTCCATATTTTGATGGCTTCATAAGTAGATGGAGACATGATCTGGGGAAAGTAGTCTAGGAAATGTGCAAAATGGGGTAGATGATCCTATTTGAAAAATGCTAATTAATGATTCAGTGTTGAAATGAGAGGTTATGTTAAAGGGTTCTATCCTGGGTACAGTTGCCTTTAATGAAAGCATCAGTCAGTTGTCTGATTAAATGTGCTTATTAAATTCTCAGGGACTGTGTTGGAGGACATGATGAGAGTTCAAAATGACCTGAAAAATAGGATGACATTCAATAGGGACAAATGCAGAGTACTGCACTTAGGCAGGAATTATCAGCTGTGCAAATGTAGGGTGAGGAATAACTGGTTAGGTACTAGAAAAAGGACCTGGGGGTGTACTGGATCACAAGTTGAACATGAGTCAGTGTCATGCTGTTTGCAGAAAAGGCAGATATCTCTTGCTGGGATGGTTAAACAGGAGTATTGTCTGTGAGATGTAAAGTTTAAATCCGTTGGCTTTATTTGCTGTTGGTATACTCTCAATGTGCAGACAGCATCTGTTTTGGGTGCCAAAATTCAAGAAGAATTTGGACCACTTGGAAAGAGTTCAGAGGAGAGAAATACAAATGATCAGAGTTCGAGGAAACAACTTCATAAAGATGGAAGAAAATCCGAGTTATTTTGGCAAGAGATGAGGAGAATAAGGGGAGTGTAAGAGATTTCAAGTATTTAAAAGATTTGTAAGAAGGAAATGCTATTTTCAGTGACCACAATGGGAAGGTTGAAATGGGATTGTTTCATCAAGAACACTGATTAAGCTTTTAACTTTATCGCATTAAAAATTGTACTTTAAGAAGTCTTTTACTGTTGGCCATGAAGAACAAGTTCATGTGTTGGTATAGTTGGTTTAGTTTGGGGAATAGACTAAGCTCTCTATTGATGTCCTTCCCTTTCATCTCATTTTATAGGATTCTAGTTTTATTTTGTGTCAAGTTTGGGCCAGGGAGGTGGAAATACGTGGAATTCTTCTTGTCCATCACTTGGTCATGTCATATGTGAGTTTAGACCTTACACAGGTTCAAATGACTAGACTATCAGTTTGCAAACATACAGTGTTTGGGATGTTACTCTCTTCTGTGGGATGCTGCTTTATGCAAGTGGAGCAAGTTTTCTTCATGGCGGAGACCCTACAGGACGACAATATGTGTGTGTAACTTTAGTGTGGCAAAGCACTGAGGAATTTTCGATCATTTTAGTTTTAGTAGTTTCAGATTATTGCTTTAGACTTGGATGGTAATCTTAATGCTTCTGATCCATACTTAGAAAGGTCCACTTTTGGCTTTGAAGATCTTTTTGA